TTCCGTTCACCAAGCGGGTGTGGCGTATAAGAGTAACAAGAGGAATGTCTCACCTTTTCATTCATGCAGGTCTGGAGTGTCCTTGGGGTTGCTGGCAAGAAGAACGTGTTCTTAAGCCCTTGGAATATGGGAGAGCACTGTCTGTTTAAATATCCAAAATAGTCAAGCCACTTGTAAATATTCAAAATGGCAGCGCCTCCGGACAGGTGAAAGTCCACAGCTCAGGCCGCCTTTCTCTTTGCCTTCTCCATTTATTCCCCAGCCACCAGAGCAGTCCTCTGTGCAGTCCCTGGATAGCAGGGCTGATTTTTAGGTTAATTCTTAGCTCCTACCACCACTCGGCACTCTCCAAGCTGTCTTGGATCACTGTCAGGATTGCTGAGGATCACTGCCAGACTGCAGCTCCATATAATTCCTTTTTTGGTATTTTCATGCAAATTCTTCCGCTAGTTGGGGTTTAGTCCACTTCTACATTATTCCCTTCAAGGCTCAGGGGTCCAAGATTATCTTCTGTGCCTGTGTTAATTGGTTTCCCTTTTCTTTGTTGAAGAGGATCTGTGCAGTCTTTCTGCCTAGTCCACCATCTTACTAGAACTCCCAGAGTAATCCTTTTTAAAGCATAAATAAGATCATCTCACTTCCTGTCTCAAAACTTTACAATGGATTCCCTCAAAATAACATTCAGACATCTCTCTCTATAGCTTCAGTCACTGTGTCTGAAACCTCAGTTACTCTTCTGTAATAGCCTTGCTCACTTCTTGCTATTTTTCAGTTCATTAGGTTTATCCTGACCCCAGGGCCTTTGTCCTTACTCTTCTCTCTGCCTAAAATGCTCTTTGTATGGCTCACTCTCTTATTTCAGTCAGGTCCCTACTCACTGTTATCTCTTCAGAGAGACCTTATCTGAGTGGCCTACCAAGAAAGCAACTCAAATCCCAATATCGCTCATTTAATATGATGCCACTCTTGGGTAATACTGTATAAATTATTTGTGTGTTTCTGTTATCACTAGATTGTAAAATCTATGAGAGTATGGAGTTGGCCTTGTTCACCGATATACACCCTCTACTCAGAATAGTGTCTGGCAGTGGATAATAAACATTTAGTGAATGAATGAATGAATGAACAACAAGTTATGCATCAATTAATTAATCTAGAAGTTACAAAATGGAGGCTAGTCTCAATCACAAATATATTTTATTAATACAACATTTTCTGACAGTGTTTTCTTAAATGTGAATTAGTCAATAACATTTATAAAGTGTGAAATTTCTCATACACAGTCTGATTTCTGACTTCTTTTTAAAAATTAGAAGCCCTGGTGGTGCAGTAGTTAAGCATTCAGCTGTAACCAAATAGCCAGGGGTTCTAACCCACCAGCTGCTTTGCAGGAGAAAGATGTGGCAGTCTGCTTCCATAAAGATTTATAGCCTTGGAAACCCTATGGGGTCAATTCTGTCTGTCCTATAGGGGTGCTATAAATTAGAATAGACTTCACATCAGTGGGTTTTTATAAAAATCAAGAGATGTTTATACTTGGAATCCCAATAGTAAAAAAATATATGATGTTGATTAGCAGTTGCTTCTTTTAGGCAGGGTTTTCCCCAGACCCCAATATTCCCTATCATATTTCTGACACCAAAGACTTCCTTACACGTAGGTCCCTCCTCTCTACTATGTTACCTACCTTGTCTTGGAAGCTTTCAAGACCCCTAGAGTAAGCATATTTATGGTAAGTCTGCTAACCTTTGTGTCACATGCCTGTAATTTTTCATGTCTAACTTAAAAATGAAATTGGCCCTCTGGTGAATCTCTACCATTCATAATGAGACACACATTTCTTTCTTTGGTGCTATTCTCATTGTAGAATAATCACTCAGCTTGACAAATTCAGCAAAGAACTTTTGCTAGTTGAAGGACAGAAAGGTTCAACTTTATTTCAAAACAGTTTTCACTTCTGGCAGTGTATTTTTAAAAAGCTTTTTTAGAAAAAGAAAAACATAAATTTGAAATAGTTGTTTTTATTTTCAAAACCTCATGAACATTCTATCCAGATGTTTACCTAAAGCCATTCATTTACTAGTGTGGGATACACCCAATTGTCCTAAGAAAGAAAATAGCCAAGTTTAACGATACATGATTGCTTATTCGAAAGAAAATAGACAGGAATAGACATGTAACAGTAAGAGTTATGTCTTTTTGCTATTGTATCGCCAGATAAAGGAAAACATACACAAAACAGCTAGAACTTTTTTTTTTTTTTCCACTCATACTCAAGCCAGGGGCTATATATTTGAGAGGCTTGAATATTTATGAAGCATCTGCTATGTATCAGGCACTGTCTCAGCACTTGTGCAGCTCATCTTCTACTTTATTCTCTAGGGGAGCTAGACAGGAAAAAACTAAACAAAGAAAAAAAATGTTATAATATATGCAATAGAAGGCAATAGCTGCTATGGATAGAAAGGAAAGTAGACAGTTCCCTGCAAACCCTTTGTGCTCAGCTACCAACCAAAACATTGGTTGTTCAAATACTGGCACCTTGGAAGCAAGGCCCAGCAAGCTGCTTTCATAAGCTTACAGCCATTGAAAACTCTGGAGCCCATTTCTAGTCTGAAACATATGGGTCACCATGGGTCAGAATCAATTCGATGTCAAGGGTTTTCGAGGTTTTTTCTATTCTTTTCTTTTCTTTTCTTTTTTTCTCACCAGACTGGGAGGCCTGGCTCATTACTATATTTCATAGTGTGGTCAGGATAGATCACATTGAGAAGGGCAGATCTGAGCAAGACTTGAAAGAGGGAGAGGAGTTAGCCAAGTGGATCTGGGTGGAAAGAGCTTTCCAGGAAAAGGAAAGACCTAGAGCTAAATAAAGCTCTAATGTAGCACTATGGCTGCTGTTGTCAAGGAGCAACTGTGGCTGAGTTAATGTTTAGCTAAGTAAGTTGATTACAGTTAAAAAAAAAAGTCTATGGATGCACACACTATTCTCCACATGATTAGTCTATTCTCTTCAGTTTAGGAATATTTATCATCTATTTTTAAATTAACCTGTATGTTGATTTGGCCATCGCCTGGGCATTAGAGTCTCCATGACAGTATAAGAGCACTGCAGGTCCAGTTTTGCAAGGGCAACTTAAGTGAATGGCCCCAGTTGGCTCCCAGTGGAGATTCTAACCCTTAGCTACGGTACATGCATGACAGATTCTCATGAGCTGGCTGCATTCTCATTGCTCCCAATACACTCTTCTGTTCTATGTATCAAATCCTAGTGCTTTTCAGAGGGGTGTTCCATGAGGAAAAGAGTAAGAGCCTGGATTTATTATCTTACTCTGCATGCTAAATAATCTCCAGTAAGCATGCAGTTCAGAAGGTCTTCGCACAAACCTGCCTCTGAGCTTCATGTCTCCTCCTTAATGCAGCTCCTTGCGGAGGACTGGCCCTTTGGAGCTGAGATGTGCAAGCTGGTGCCTTTCATACAGAAGGCCTCCGTGGGAATCACTGTGCTGAGTCTATGTGCTCTGAGCATTGACAGGTGAGAGCCTATATTTATAAAAAAGGATATTCTGAATGTATACTCCTGATTGCTACATTAGTTAAAGATAAACTCTGTGGAGTTTGACTCAAAAAAAAAAAAAAAAAAAAAAAAAAAAAAAAAAAAAAAAAACCTCACTGCCCTCAAGTTGATTCTACTCATAGCAACCCCTCCTTGGGTTTCCATATCTCTGTGGGAGTAGATTGCTCAATCTTCCATGGGTTTGAACTGCCAGATTTCTGGTTAGCAGTCAAATGCCTTAGGCATTGAAAGGATTTAAAAAAGAAAGATTAGTCTGTAGTTGATAGTTTTTGAAGCTAGGTTATAGGCACATGAGGGTTCATTGTAGTGGTCTTTGTAGGGAAAAAAAAAATGTTTAAAAAAAAGTACAAAGACAAAAATTCAGATTCCCAGGAGCAATACTCACAAATGAAGTTGGAGTAAGTTTGGAAGAAGAAGCTCACTGCATTGAGTCAGTTCTGACTCATAACAACCCTCATTGGATTTGAGGTGATAAATCTTGATTGAAATAAAGTGCCCTATCTTCCTTGCACACAGCAGCTGGTGAATTTGAACTGCCAACCTTCTGGTCAGCAATCAAATGCCTTAGGCACTGTGACACCAGAACCATGAGTTTGGGAGAGATCCTGGGAACCTGCATTTTTATCAGGTTCCCTTTTATGCTAGAGGACAATTTGAAAATCCAGAACTGTATGTCAGATAGTAAACTTTTTAACATATATCCTTACTTAAATGCTCTGGCATTGGAGCTTCAAATTCATGGTTCCAGCCCCACTGAAAGCTCGGTAAATGAAAGATACCACTTATTGATGGAAAAAATAAATAAATAAATAAATAAACTCTGTAATTCAATAAAACCAAGCTCTGCCAGCTTGAGAATCCATTCTATTTTGATCTTCAGATATCGAGCTGTTGCTTCCTGGAGTCGAATTAAAGGAATTGGGGTGCCAAAATGGACAGCAGTAGAAATTGTTTTAATTTGGGTAGTCTCTGTGGTTCTGGCTGTTCCTGAAGCCATCGGTTTCGATATGATTACGATGGACTACAATGGAAGTTATCTGCGAATCTGCTTGCTTCATCCCACTCAGAAAACAGCCTTCATGAAGGTAAATTTTACTCTTTTTTTTTTCTCCCCATTTTCTGCTTTTGCCTCGTAAATGTTTAGCTATTTTCCCCTGATCACGTCCTCTTGGGATAGTCATTGATTTACAGCTCTCTTTGTCATGAATTCAAAGTATAGATGCCAGGAACGCAGGGTTAATATGAACTAATGGTCCAGTGTCCAAGAAGTTGGGTCACACATCTCTAAGAACCCCTGGCTTTCAGGGACACAGGATAAACCAAGTTCGCATGTAAGAATTAATCTGAATTCATAGCCTTTCTACCTACAGCCTCTTAATGACTAGCAACTACTACATACATGTTCTGAATAAGATAAGCATCCCCCTTCAAAAAAAAAAAAAAGAAAAACCATTGTCATCCAATTGATTTTGACTCATGGCAACCCTGTTGTGTTACAGAGTAGAACTGCTCTATAGGTTTCTTTCTTTCTTTTTTCTTTTTTTTTTTTTTTTAATTGTGATTTGGGTGAAAGTTTACAGAGCAAATTCACTTTCCATACAGCAGCTCATATACACTTTGTCTCATGACATTGACTACAATTTACCACAATGCAACAGTTCCCCTCCTACTTCCTCCCTGTTTTGGTTACCTAGTGCCGCTCTGACAAGAATATACCACAAATAGGATGGCCTTAACAAACAGGAGTTTATTCTCTTACAGTGTAGACCCTTTAAGTCTGAGTTCAAAGTGCCAGGCTCTAGGGGCTGGGTGTAAGCCCCTCAGCCTTGGGCTTCAGCTCTGCCTCTGGCTCCTGGCCCACTGAAGCTAGAGGCATCTTCACTCAGGAAGCTATTGGCTGTCAAGGCTCATAAGCCCAAGGTCGACAAATAAAATGGCACAGTCCTGATGTTACCAAACCACATGGCAGGCCAATGAGTCAAGTCCATTGTAAGTCCCAAGATCGGCAGAGCATGGCAGGCTGCTGAACAACGATATGGCTACATCCAAGGTCCAAGCATGCCACAAGCTAGATACCATTCCCAAGGCTTCTCCTTATATATAAGAAGCAGACCACATCCCACTCACCTGCTTATGGTAGATCCCACCATGGAGTTAATTGCCAGTCTCATCATGGGGAATAACTACCACCAGCAGCCCAGTCACTCAACCAGGCCCAGCCAAGGTGACACACAAACATAACTACCACACTCGCCATAGTTACCTCTTCCCTGTGTCCTTCCTTCCATGCACTCCTGCCCCCTGAGCTGTCTCCCTGTGCATACACAGCCCTTCTATTCTCCCATGATTGATCTCTACAAGGAGTGTATCTACCTATTGTAAATGTTCAGTTCATATGCCTGTCTTTTGCTTGGCTGGAAGCCACAGGAGTGGGTTCAATTCCATACTTGAAGGGCAGCTAGAGACCATAGTCTCAGAGGTTCCATTAGGCTCTATCAGATGAGCAAACCTGGTCTTTTTTTGTTTTTTAATGATTTTGAGTTTTGTTCCACTTGTTCTCCCGCTCTATCTAGGATCTCCTACAGAGATCCCCCTCTGAGTGGTTGACAGTGGTAGCCGGGCACCATCCAGTTCTTCTGGTCTCATAGTTGTATAGGCTGAGGTTCACGTGGTGTACCAGTCACTTGGACTAATTGTTTCCTTGTGTCCTTGATTTTCCTCATTCCTCTTTGCTCTGAATGAGGAGAGACCCATAATTGCATCTAGATGGCCACTTGCAAGCTTTTAAGATCCCAGTCACTACTCGCCAAAGTAGGATGTAGAACAATGTTTTTTTTGTAGTGTGTTTTGCCAATTGAGCTTGATGTCCCCTGCCACTATGGTCCTGAGCCCACAGGTCCAGTTACTCGCTCCCTCTGCGTAGCTGGCTGTGCCCAAGAAGGGACTACAACCTTGCCCCTTGTCAGCTCTACCATATACCTGGGAATTCTTATAGAATATACCAATACATTTGTAGAAACATTGTCTGCCAACCCTATACACATGCTTGCCAGCATTTGTTATTTTCTGTCTTGATGAACTTTGATACTAGTGCTGGGCCAAGATGGTATCTCATTGTTGATTTGATTTGCATCTCTCTGATGGCTAATGATTATGAGCACTTCTTCACATGTTTGTTGGCCGCCTGAATGTACTCCTTGTTGAAATGCCTGTTCATGTCTTCTGCCCATTTTTAATTGAATTATTTGTCTTTTTGTTGTTGAGGTGTTGGAGTTTTCTATAAATTCTAGATATAAGTCTTTTGTCAGATATGTCATTGCCAAATACTTTTTCCCAGTCTGCAGATTCTCTTTTGACCCTTTTGGAGAAGTCTTTGGAAGCACATAAAATTTTAATTTGCAGAAGGTCTCATTCATCTAGTTTATCTTCTGCTGTTTGTGCATTTTGGGTTATGCTTGATAGTCTATTTATGCCATATATTGTTGTGTTGTTGTTGTTATGTGCCATCGAGTCAGCCCCGTTCTTGGGTTTCTCAGGCAATCATCACTATGGAAGTAGATTGCCCAACCTTCCTTCCAAGGAGTGACTGCAGGGTTTGAACCACCAGCCTTCTGGTTAGCAGTCAAGTGCCTTAGGCACTACACTACCAGGGGATCCCTAAATTTTCCCTTAGTTTTTCCTTAAGGAACTTTATCGTTTTACGTTTCACATTTAAGTCTTTGATCCATCTGGAGTTAGTTTTTGTGTTTGGTGTGAGGTACAGATCTTGTTTCATTTTTCTGCAAATAGATATCCAGTTTTGCTAGCACTGTTTGTTAAACAGAACACCTCATCCCCATTTAATGGATTTTGGCCCTTTGTTAAAGATCAGCTGACCATAGGTCGATGGATCTATTTCTGGGTTCTCAATTCTATTCCATTTGTCTATGTGCCTGTCATTATACCAATACCAGGCAGTTTTGACTACTGTGGCTGTATAGTAGGTTGATATCTGGCAGTGTGAGACCTCCTACTTTGTTCTTCTTCTTCTTCAATAGTGCTTTGCTTATCTGAGGTCTCTTTCCTTTCCATATAAAGTTAGTGATTGGTTTTTCCATATCCTTAAAGAATGTTGATGGGTCTGGACTGGGATTGCATTGAATATATAGATTGCTTTGGGTAGAATTGACATTTTCACAATGTTCAATCTTCCTATCCACAAGTGTGGTATGTTCTTCAATTTATGTAGATCTCTTATGGTTTCTTGAAGTAGTTTTTTATAGTTTTCTTTTTAGAGGTCTTTTGTGTCCCTGGTAAGGTTTATTCCCAACTATTTTATTTTTTTGGTAGCTACTGTACGTGGCATTGATTTCCTTATTATTATTATTTTTTTCAGCAATCTCATTGCTGATGTAGAGGAATCCAACTGATTTTTGGATGTTGATCTTGTATCCTGCCACAATGCTAAATCTGTCAATTAGTTGCAATAGACTTTTGACTGACTCTCTTGGGTTTTCTTTGTATAGGATCATATCATCAGCAAATAGGGATAGTTTGACTTATTCCTCACCATTTTAGATGCCTTTGATTTCCCTTTCTTACCTTATTGCCCTGGCTAGGACCTCCAATAAAATATTGAATAGAAGTGGTGATGGAGGGCATCCTTGTCTAGTTCCTGTTTGCAAGGGGAATGATTTCAGTCTCTCTCCATTGAGAATAATGTTGGCTGTTGGTTTTGCATAAATGCCTTTTATTATGTTGAGGAATATCCCTTGTATTCCTCTTTTGCTGAGAGTTTTGATTAAGAATGAGTATTGGATTTTATCAAATGCCTTTTCTGTATCAATTGATATGATCATGTGGTTCTTTTCCTTTGTTTTATTTATGTGATGGATAATATTGAGTATTTTTCTAATGTTGAACCATCCTTGCATACCTGATATGAACCCTGTTGTTTGCTTGCCTTCCTCTTTGATCCTTCTCCTTTTATTCACCAGTCACCAGTGCAGTTCTCCATGCAGCCCCTGGCTAGTGGAGTCGATTTTTAGGTTAATTCTTAGGTCCTAACACCACTCAGCAATATTCAACCTCTCCGTGCAGTCAGGATCGCTGAAGACCTCAGCTCTGTATGTCTGCTTTTTTGGTGTTTTCATGCAAGTTCTTGTACTAGATGGAGTTTAGTCTACTTCTATATCCTCCCCTCAAAAGATCAGGGCTCCAGGATTATCTTCAGTATTTGTGTTAATTGGTTCCCCTTTTCTCTGTTGAAGAGGGTCTGGGTACTCTGTCTGCCTATTCTGCCATCTTACCAGAATTCCTCTATAGGTTTTTTCAATTTATTTGTTTTTGGTAAAAATATACATAGTAAAGTATATATCCATTCAACAATTTTTACATATACAGTTCATTGACAATGGCTACATACTTAATATTGTGTCACCATTCTCACTATCTCTGCCATATTGTCTCACTACTGTTAACTTAGACTCTGTACCCCTTAAAGTACTCATCTGTGTTTTACAGTTACTATATAACTGCCTCTGAAACCCAAGGAGCGGTCGCTAGGAGTCGGGGGCCGACTCTATGGCAAATAACAACAACAACATTGTCTGTTTAATCTCACATAGATAATTCTATAAAAAGTGCAATACTCAAGGTGAACTTTCTTTATTAAATGAGTTTCACAGGGTTTTCTTAGCTGAAATCTTAATGAAAGCAGATTGCTAGTTCTATCTTCTAAAGTGGGTTTGAATGGCCAACTTTTAGGTTATACTCAAATGCAAATGGTTTGTTCTACTTAAGGACTACACTTCAGTAATCAGAGGGAGTGTTTGGCTCAGTGAATATTCAACTAGGAGTCACCCTGGAGGGATGGATTCTCAACTGAAAGCCTACTTTTTCTTTGTCTGTGACACTACAGTTTCCATTGCAAAGAACTTTTATCTTGGCCATTTATTAAAGAACATTTTATCAGTAAATAGGAAAAAAAATAGTGATGCTGATCTCCAGAAGATTGATTCTAAGTGTAAAAGGCTTTTCCTAAGAATAGGTTAGGACCTCTGGTGGCATAGTGCCTAAGGCACTTGACTGCTAACCAGAGGCTGGTGGTTCAAACCTGCCAGCCACTCTTCAGAAGGAAGGTTGGGCAATGTACTCCCATAGTGATACTGCCTCAGAAACCCAATGAGGGGTCACTGTGAGTCGGGTCCAACTCAATGGCAGTGATTTTGTTTTTGGTTAAAGAATAGGTTAAGGAGAGTTAATACAAAAGGGGCTGGTCTAAGTGTTGCCAGTGGTTATTTCCATTTTTTTTTTTTTCCTGGAAGAAGCAGGGTCAAATTACCCAATAAGCAAGCTAAGTACAGGCTTACTTGTGTTTACCAAGTAATCTGTACTGAACAATTTCTCTTGGTCTTTACCACATCTTTGTGGTGCAAAACATGTGAAACTCTTCACTACAGACACTACAGATTAGTAAGTAAGCACAAGTCAGCCTATGCCTACCTTGTTTAGTGGGCACTCTATCCCTGTTAGGGATTGTAAATTTGAAAAAAAGGCTTTGATTCTATAGGGAGGTGGTATGGGGTTGGGAGAGAGACAGATGCCAGTCATACCTAGAAGCAGAATCTTTAATGTGGTGAAAAAAATGTGAAATTGTTCACTACAGATTAGTAAGCAAGCACAAGTCAGCCTGTGCTTACCTTGCTTATTAGGTAATGTGACACTGATAAGAACATTATATTAAACTTTATGAATTGTATATTACATGGTAAGCAAAATAACAAAGAGAAACATGAATGTGAAATCAAGAATGAGATTGCTGTTTTCTTGTTTCTTGTTGGTAAACAGAAAAAAAATGTTATATAGGTTACATGTATTTTTCTGCAACAGATGCATCTGGAGAAGCAAGTTTTTTTTTTTTTTTTTTTTAAAGGCATAGCTTAGAGCAGAAAAAGAAACAGGGAAAAGGCATGAGATATAAGCAGCTTGAATTTTTTTAAGAGAGAGGTTAAAGCAATACATTATTGAGCTAAATGATAAGCATAGACCTTTTCATATCTGTTTTTCTCACTAAACAAACCTGATAAAACATGAAATCTTTACATAAACACTAGGATATTTTTATGTATTCAGATGTGGTAAAATACACAAAGAATGCCCTGATGATAACTTGCTTATGTATAGAGAAAATATTACATTACTAAATATTTCCAATTTTACCCAAGTGCTTAAATTTTTATGCATAATTATAGCACACTGCCTTAGAGTATTACAATACTTTTTTAAGGAAAATATGTTTCACTTATGATAGGTATTAACTTATTTATTTAATAGAGGTGGCCTGAAAGATTCTACGTAATATTTATAAAATGGGTCTACATTAAAAGGTAATTGTTCTTTGATGAATATGTTCTTTTCAATGTACACTTGGTGCGTAAGATTTTCTTATAGAGAACAGTTTATCATAAAAGTCTTCCTTTCTCCATAGTTTTACAAGACAGCTAAAGATTGGTGGCTATTTAGCTTTTATTTCTGCTTGCCGTTAGCCATTACTGCATTCTTTTATACCCTGATGACCTGTGAAATGTTGAGAAAGAAGAGCGGCATGCAAATTGCATTAAATGATCATTTAAAGCAGGTAAGAAAATAAATATATTTGCTGACATGATTATAGTTATTATTATGAGTATGAAAATGAATATAATATAGTAAAATTTTTATATGCCATAGTATAATATTTCCTTTTTCTTTCTTTGAATATAGAAAGTATACATCTTTGAATGTAGAAAGTAGATAATTTATATTATCTATTTAGAAATATTCTATCTAATATAAAAGGATCTAGATAAAATCATTATTTTTTAAAATACATCTCTGGTCATTTTATTTCTAATTTGTATTAATTACTCAATTTAAAATTCAGTGTTCTGAATTTGTACAAATGGCCAGCAACATGTTGTAAACAATATCACAAACTCTGTTTTGGAAGAGAGGACACTATGATTATAGTGAGCTGTGTTTTAAGGAGTTAACTCTGCTGTTGTTTCAGAGACGGGAAGTGGCCAAAACAGTCTTTTGCCTGGTCCTTGTCTTTGCTCTGTGTTGGCTGCCCCTTCATCTCAGTAGGATTTTGAAGCTTACTCTTTATGATCAGAATGATCCCAGTAGATGTGAGCTTTTGAGGTAAGAAAGGTAAAATTGAAATAGTTTTTTAAATAAAATGTAATTCATAATTGTTTCCATTGATCCCACTCATCAGATGAAAGAGAGATCCATTCCTCTAACCATTATAAAAAGAAAAGAATTACTACTGAATGGAATTGATTCTAACTCATGGTGACCTCATGCGTCAGAAAAGAACTGCTCTCCACAGGATTTTCAATGGCTAATTTTTCAGAAGTAGATTGCCAGACATTTCTTCTGAGCTGCATCTGGGTAGACTGGAACTTCCAGGCTTTTGGTTGGCAGCTAAGCTCATTAGCCATTTGCACTATCCAATGACTCCTTCTAATCCCAAGGGAGCATTCAGTTTTTACCTTCATTCCTATTTTAGAGGGAAGAGTGGATGGGGACTTAAGAAGATCTGGAAATGGAGAACCAAAATTGTCAAAATGATGAGTGATGGACACATTTGAAAATGCCAGATCTGGTTCTCCTTGCACTTTGTAAAGCCTTATTTTCAAACAGCCTCAGCTTATGCAAGCTGAGATTTTATTTTAAAGGGGATAGTTGGGTGCCTGTGTGAGCTGGGGGGCTTGAGGAAAGAGGATGACAAGTAGAGAAAGAGAAAGAATAAGAGAAAAAGAAAGAAAGAAGGAAAGAGAAGAAAGAAATGGAGAAAGAGAGAGACAGAGAAAGGTGGGGGGAAGAGGTGGGAGGAAAGAGAGGATAAGAGAGAGAGAAGGAGGAGTATCATTATCAGAAATGACCAGTGATAAATTCAAAACCATTGTTGTTGTTATGTGCCGTCGAGTCTTCACAAAAAATTCTGCAATGATTACATACTCAGAGAACCATATTTCCTACTGACATGTTTTGGGTTATTTCTTCCAGCTTTTTGTTGATATTGGACTACATCGGCATCAACATGGCCTCCTTGAATTCCTGCATTAATCCAATAGCTCTGTATTTGGTGAGCAAAAGATTCAAAAACTGCTTTAAGGTAAGAGAATATTCCAAAATGGAAAGCTCTGTTCATCTGGCACCAAAGATAATGCTTCAAAACCTTTAAAGTTTTCATCCAGAGAGATCTAGTACATTGTTGTACAATGTTCCCTTGCATTATATCATGGAATGATTTTTTAAATCAGGACTTTGACTTACAAATCACTATAGTCAATTTTTGCCTGTGGATTATAGTCAACCACTCCTTACTGCCTCAATCAATCAGTTATACTCATGGAATAGCTGAGAATATTAATAAAAGTTATACTCTTAGATATCTGACAGATGTCACGTAATAAAATAATAGTTAAACATTGTTAAAGTGTTCTGTTCCCCAGTTGTTTTAGATTTTGGATTGTACAGTGACAAATTAGTCCCTTTTTTTATGGAATACCACGTCAAACAAAGAAATATAATTAAGCTCCTCCCTGCTCTTTTCCATGTTCTTGGTAAAACAGAAACATGTAGAATATGTGTAATTGTTCCTTAGTCAACTGCTTTCATCATAACAGCCATTCATCCATTCATTCAGTTCTTCAACAATCTAACATGAGATAGAATGTTTCCTCCCTTATATGAGAATCATTCATTTGTCTCTTCTATTCCATCATTGGAAAGCCAAGAATTTAGCTTGCTTGTAAAATCCAAGGCAGTCTATAAAATTCTCACTCATAACTGACGGATTTTCAAGCTGGGAAATCATAAACTTGTAGATTTTAAAACTGAAAGAGAACATTCATCAAGATCTTCCCCCTGATTTTATAAAACAGAAAATAGTGAACCAACCATCATGTCATACATATAACTTCACAGTAAACAAATAGAATGAACAACATTTTGGATTAAAATAAAATTCAAGAAAAAAATTAAAATCATAAAGAAACCAAACCCACTACAATCAAGTTGATTTTGACCTGTAGCAACCCTTTTAGGACAGAGTAGGTCTGGCCCATAGGGTTTCCAAGTCTGTAAATATTTATGGAAACAGACTGCCTCATCTTTTTGATGTGGAGTGGCTGGTGGGTTCTAACTGCTGACCTTTTGGTTAGCAGCTGAATACTTTAATGACTACAAAATCAGAAGAATAAAATGGAGATGCTTGTATACTTTAAAACCTTATTGTGTAGGAAAATTGAATGGCACATGAGAATATCATATGGCTGAAAAAAAATGGTGATATAATGCTAAATTCACTGGAATAGAAAGATATTTATGAAATTATTAACTGAAAAATATCAAGCTAGGGAGTAGTATGTATACTATTCCGTAGTGATACTGCCTCTGAAACCCAAGGAGGGGTCGCTATGAGTCGGGGCCGACTCGACGGCACATAACAACAACAACAACAATAATCTTATTAAAATAAATTATACACCTACTCACAAGCACATGCACATATGCAATCATGTATATATAAGTGTGTGGTAAGGTCTATTTACCCTATTTGCATAGAAAACACCTATAAGTGTCTATTTTTTTTTGAAGTGTCAAATGTGGCTTTCTGTTGATGAGGACTCTTAAAGTATATCCTTGTTTTTCTTCTCTATATTTTCTAGGATAACATGTTAGTATCATAGATATACTCTATACTTCTAGTATCATATACTACTTGTGTAATAATATATATATTGTTGTTTTTATGTGCCATTGAGTCAGACCCGACTCATAGCAACCCCTCCTTGGGTTTTCAAGGCAGTATCACTATGGAAGTAGATTGCCCTATCTTCCTTCCAAGGAGTGGCTGGTGGGTTTGAACTGCCAGCCTTCTGGTTAGCAGTCAAGTGCCTTGGGCACTACACTACCAGATCTCCTCTCTCTCTCTCTCTCTCTCTCTCTCTCTCTCTCTCTATATATATATATATATATATAATATATATAAAAGTTATATATATAAAAGGTAAAAATAAGCATAGAGAGAAAGTGGTCAAAGAATTCCCAACCGCACATAGAAGAAAGTCAGAACCTTAGAGTATATGAAGAATTGTGACATTTGAATTGATGTAAACATGTAATGAGTGACTTTGTTTTGTACAGTCATGCTTATGCTGCTGGTGCCAGTCATTTGAAGAAAAACAGTCCTTGGAGGAAAAGCAGTCCTGCTTAAAGTTCAAAGCTAATGACCATGGATACGACAACTTCCGTTCCAGTAATAAATACAGCTCATCTTGAAAAGGAATATTCACTTAATTTCTTTTCTTTTTCAAAAAATTTTGGACAGAAATCATTAAAACAATGAGATATTTGCCAAAAAAAAAAAAAAAATACCTTCTGTGTTTGCACAAAAAAAGCATGAAAATGTAAGAGTGATTATTAACATTAATAATTATACATGACATTTTATGAGCTGCTTACAATTTGAAAAGGAGAAGGGTGAGAATTAAGAAAGCCTCATTGTTAAAGCACTTAATTTTTTAGTTAGCACTTCAAAATAGCTCTTAATAACTTCCAGTATATTCATACATCATTACATTTGAAAGAAGCTTACGTGGAATTCTTAATGTTAGGTGTTAGGAGTCAATTTTGACTCTTGCGGAAACCCCATGACAAAGTAGAACTGCCCCATAGAATTTTCTTAGCTGCAATTTTTATGGAAGCAGATTGTCAGGTCTTTTCCTTATGAAGCCTTCTGGTTAGCTGCCAAGAGCTTAATCATTTGTGCCACCAGGGCTCCTTAGAATTCTTATTAACCCACTGCCAGCTGAACCAATCCCAACCCATAGCAATCCTGTAGGGCAGAGTAGAATTGCCCCCATAGGGTTTTCAAAGCTGTAAATCTTTACAGAGGCTCACTGTCACATCTTTCACCTTCAGAGAAGCTGGTGAGTTCAAACCACAGACTTTTTGGTTAGCACCAACTGCTTTATTCACTGAAGCACCAGGGCTCACAGAATTTTTATTAGAGAGGTTTATTTAAAAATTAATGCAAATACGATACAAAAGAAAAATGTGTCCCTGTAAAACAAAATTTCTTAAATGAAAGTTTAAATCATTCGATTTGTTTCCAAATAAAATCCTTTTAAAACAAATTTTTTATTAATAGTGTCACATAATTTCTCAAATTATGATTAAATACATAATGTGAAAACAGTTTAACTGCTGTATTTTTTGGACACCAGAAACATATTAAATGATCTGGATGGAGTGTCAGGAAGTGATATGTCTACTAAGTTTTTGAAAATCATTAAAACTCTTTATATTCAGATAAGATTGAATGTCCCAAAAGAGAAAGAGAAAGATGGATTGGAATACTATGCTGAAATACTTTGAGATTTCCTATTCACATAGTCTACCAAAAAAAAAAAAAAAAAAAAACCTACCTACAGTGTTGGCAAGATGTTTAAAATAGTCTTATTTCACTCTTACAGTCTGTATTTGTTTAGTTTCATCATCTGTAAAAACTTAGCTATATCCACTACATGTGGATGACTAAATCCAGGGCAGGGCCTGTGTTCATACTCTTACAATGGAGAGATGCCAGTAACCCAAGAATGGACAGAATGTGAATTGCCTGGAGCAGTGTCCACATTGCAAAGGAGCAGAGAGCATTCTCTTTCATTGATGCTATAGTTAAAACTATCTCTGGCATGTGTACAGCATTATCGTTAAAATACTATTTTTTCAAATCACTCAAATTAACCAATAAACAGTGACCTGTAAAGTTTATTAAGCCCTCAAAAAAAAAAAAAAAAAAAATTACTCACTGCCATGGAGTCAATTCTGACTCAGGAACCTTATAGGACAGAGTAGAAATGCCCCATAGGGTTTCCAAGGCTATAAATCTTTATGAAAGTACACTGTCTCATATCTTTCCTTGGGAGTAGCTGGTTCTTTTGAACTGCTACCTTTTAGGTTAACAGCTGAGCACTTAAACACTGCACCACCTGGACTATTTTTGTAAAGCTTATTACTAATTTTTACATTATTTTTGTAAATAACTGTTAGAAAAGAGTTTTTGACTTGGTACTTTTCTATCACTTAGAGGCAAAGCCGCTTTTTCAGGCTGTAAGAACCTCTTGCTTTGTGCCGTCTTGCCTACTTCTTTAATCTCTCCTGCAAAGTGCCTTAGGTTTCCTTGGGACAGGATGTGTGTGAAAGTATGTACAAGAGAAAATAGAAGAGAGAGGAAATGAAGTGGGGTGGGAGGAAGCCCGTAGGGACAGATTCCCGTTCTTAGCCTGACTTTCGTCATTACTCCGTCACATCAATGCAAAACGTCCTGATTCTGTTCCAGTGAAGCACAGTGCAATGTTCTCAGAGTGACTTCAGGAACAAATTAAGCCCAAGAGCTTTAGCTCGGTCTTAAAATATAACAGAGTTTTATAAAGGGGGAGAACTAGCAATGTTGTTTTCTGCCAGCATCTAGCATGTTGATACAAACCCGACAATATGGGCAATAAGAAATGACAATAATTAATTCACATGCTACATAGACTTTCCTTACAAAGTACTCACCATTTTGTCTATTAATTTCTTCCCAATCACGTTGCTAAATGCTTGTTGTCACAAAAGACATTTCAAGCTTTGGACTTTACATTAAAACCAGAGCCACTAATATTTTCACAGTTTGTTAAAAATTGTTTTAATTCCCACTGAGTTTCAGCTCAATTTTTTTACCATGTACTGAGTTTTGGTTCTCCCTTCTCACTTCAATCCTTATACCCTTTCCTTCTCTGAGTCAGAACTGTGACCCATAATCATCTTGACAAATCTCAAAGTTGCACACAAGGATTACATGTGCACTATTTGAAATGAAATTATGCTCAGTACTTTTTCTAAAAAATATTTGATTCAAAATTTCAACTGAATGTTAAAGGCTGATAGGAATATGATTTCTTGGTCTAATTAAAACCAGATAGGAAAAGGTGCTACTTTTTAACTTTAAAACATTTTTTTTCATAGTATTAAGAGCTGCTTAATATAGCAATAGAAAAAAATAATGTTAACACTGATGTAAAGCTCAAAAGATTTATGTGAATTTAGCCTCTTTTTGCCTTTATATATGGCTACTATGTCAGTATGTTCAAAGACCTTTAAGGATTAACAGTTTAACTATGCTGAAAGGAGTAGTTTGTAGCAAAATAGGAATATGCTATAGCTAATTTTATAAAATTGTAATATAACCATGTAAAATAATTATATATTTTGTATTTTGGTGGTCACTTAAAGTGGCAACTACTGTAGTTGCTGACTCCTCGCTATGTAAACAAAATCAATAAAAATAAAAATTGTTTAAAAAAAGAGTTCAGATTACTTTACACTGCATGGGCAGTAATTAATTGATTGATAAAGTGTTTAAAGGAAATACAAATGCTACAAGTGGACATGATTTATTTTGAGGATGCAATTATCAAAAAATATGAAAGTCCTTTAAAATTAACATGCCAACTTTCCGGTCTCTAAGTTGTATTATTGTTATTATATTTTATTGTTGTGGAACCAGATATACATACAGACATTCAATATTCCTGGGTTTATGAATCTGGCTCATAGTTTCCAATGGCTCCAAAAAAATCTACATTTATTTTTTACCCATATAATTATATCAAACATAGATGAGTGCTCCAAGGTTTCCATCATTCCTGACTGATCTTTCCTGGATTTGGTGGTTCAAACGCACCAGCCACTCCTCGGAAGGAAGATGGGGCAATCTACTTCTGTAGTGATACTGCCTCGGAAACCCAAAGAGGGGTCGCTATGAGTCGGGTCCGACTTGATGGCGTATAACAACAACAGCAACAATCATAGCTAGATACTTCAAGATACAGGTTTTCTAAATCCCAGTGGCTTTTTGAGAAACACAGAAAAGAAAAATATGGGAAGTACCTTCTTTAAGCATTCACCAAGAAGAGCCTACCTACTCTTAAAAAGTTTGTTATCAATCAATCAATAAATAAGCAAAGCTTACACATTGGTTAAAGTAAAAGTCATTGTTAGCTTCCACTGAGCCAATCCCCATTGTGGCCCCAGGCAGAACAAAATGAAACTCTGCCCAGTCCTTTGATTGTGAATCAGGCCATGTAAGTCATAGAGTTTTCATAGGCTGATTTTTGCAAACGATTGCCAGGCCTTTTTTCCTCGTTTGTCTTACTCAGGGAGCTCTGTTGAAATCTGCTCAGCATCATAGCAATTTGCAAACCTCCACTTACAGATATGGCTGGTGGCTGAGCTTAAGGTGCATTGGCTGGGAATCAGACCCAGGTATCCCATATAGAAGGCAAGAACTGTACCCTGCAAACTGCACTAGTAAAAGTATGTAGGATAAACACAATTTAGATTCTCAGAAGAAGCTCAAGAGATGTAACACCCGTAAGATATCCAATTCCAGAAATCTAAACCATATAGAGGCAAAACTTGTGAAGAGTGATGACTCTAGACTGATTTATTTTCAGTCATTTGTCACCCTCAGAAGTGATACACATTGAATAATCAACTCATAGAATTGTTGTTGTTAAGTGCCATCGAGTCGTTTCCGACTCATAGCGACCCCATGCACAGCAGAACGAAACAGTGCCCGATCCCACACCAGCCCCACAATCCCTGCTATACTTGAGCCCATCATCACAGCCAACGTGTCAATCCATCTCCTTGAAGGCCTCCCCCTCTTTCGTCGACCCTCCACCCTACCAAGCATGACATCCTTCTCCAGGGAATGGTCCCTTCTGACAACATGA